GCCGTGGGAGGCGCAGTGGGGAAGGCGGGCTTGGGGTTGGGGGAGATGCTCGCGGGAGAGCGTCTCACGGATCCCCGCGCGGCCGCGGGCTGCGGGGCGGGGCGCGTGGAGGGGCTGGAGCGCCAGACACCTGTTGGGCTGCGGGGAGCGCGGCCGGACGCTCCAGGGGGCTTGGCGGGAGCGGCCACGTGCCCTCCGAGTCAGGAAAAGGCCTTCTTGGTTTCCGAGCTGAAGGGGCGAGACTGCCCAAAGCCGGGGTAGGGCAGGGTCCGGCGGGCCGGAGGAGAGGGAGGAGATGCGTCCTCTCTTTGCGGACTGGGAGGGCTGGACAGAACGACGCCTGGGAAGTACTGACGGACCAAAAGGGTCCTGTACCCGAAGTCCCCCACAGGATCGTCCCCCCTGCACCCACGTCCAGGGGACGCTGGCGGGTCGGGGGCTGGGCTGGGGTCGAAGGCCAGTTCCGGGGCGGAGGGCGTGCCCAGGAGACCGCGCGGGTGGGCGAGGGGCGGTGCCTGCGGCGCCGGCCGGCTGTGGACGCCGTGGCCCTGCTCTCCCACAGGGGCCTTCTGCATTCCGCTGTATGTGCCCTATGTGCTGACGGGCCGCTGGCCTTTCAGCAGGGGCCTCTGCAAGCTGTGGCTGGTCGTGGACTACCTGCTCTGCGCGTCCTCTGTCTTCAACATCGTGCTCATCAGCTACGACCGGTTCCTGTCCGTCACCCGCGCTGTGAGTCCGTGCGGCTGCCGCTCCCACTCCTGGGGGGAGGTGGCCAGGAGTGGCCCCAGGAGGCCCTGGCAGGGGATGGCTGCTTCTGAGTTGTGGGTAGTGCCGGGTGAGTGTGTTCCCTGCTAGCTTCACGCCTGACATGCCAGGCGCTCTATACAGCCAGTGGCCATTTGCTGCTAGTAGACTGGTCCTGGGACAGGTGGGAGGCGCTGTCTGGACCGGGCGTCAGACGTTCCTGAAGAAAGGGTCACTTCTCAGGACAGGTCCAAAGTCTTCGGAGCTGAGGGAGGACCTAAGCCACAGGCCCTCGGTGGTACCCCCTTTCTGTATGTGTGTGTCCGTGTCTGTGTGTCTGTGGCATCCCAGGAAGACAGGCATCGGCTCCGGCTCCACAAGATCCCCTTGGAGTGAGGGGCCACCATGAGCTGGGGCCCTGGACTACCTGGGCTTCCCATGTCAGCACCTCCTGGGCACAGGCTGGCAGCTGGAGAAGAGGTCTCTCCGTGCCTCTTGTCTTCTCCTTGATGGCCTTATCTGGCACCCCAAGGGCCCTATGCTTGGGGGCCACATGTGTCCTGTCTAGAGAGTGTGGAACAGAGTGCAGAGAGCATGGGTTCAGGGCCAGCATGCCTGTGTCGAACCCCAGCTCTGCCCCCTTTAGCTGACCCACCTGGTCTGTCCCTCCCTCCCTGAGCCGTCAGGAAGGAAAGTGGGGAGAATACAGGGGTTGTTGTGAAGATTAAATGAGATGGTACCCAGAAGGTGCCAAGCTCAGAACCAGCATCCTGCAGGTGCTCGAGAGACAGGGACAATGACAAGCTCACAGTGGGGGGATGGTAAGTACACAGCCGGGCCACAGGACAGTGTGAGGTGCTTCAGCCAGCTCAGGACTCCTTGGGGGAGGGGAAGATGGGGGCAAGGGAGAGGAGGGAGAGGCATCCCTGCCAGGCAACAGGCCAGAGGCTGCCAGGAGCTCCCAGGCCCATAATTCTGGCTGCAGCTGGTAGCAGCTGGCGGGCCTGGGCACATCCCCTTCCCTCCTGACCCAGCATGTCCACGGCAGGTCTCTTACCGGGCCCAGCAGAGCAACACGCGGCGGGCGGTGTGGAAGATGGTGCTGGTGTGGGTGCTGGCCTTCCTGCTGTACGGGCCGGCCATCCTGAGCTGGGAGTACCTGTCGGGCAGCAGCTCCATCCCCGAGGGCCACTGCTACGCGGAGTTCTTCTACAACTGGTACTTCCTCATCACGGCCTCCACGCTCGAGTTCTTCACGCCCTTCCTCAGCGTCACCTTCTTCAACCTCAGCATCTACCTGAACATCCAGAAGCGCACCCGCGAACGGCTAGACGGGGTCCGCGAGGCCTTCGGCCCAGAGCCCCCACCCGAAGCCCAGCCCTCTCCGCAAGCCGTGCGTGGCTGCTGGGGCTGCTGGCAGAAGGGGCGGGGGGAGGCCATGCCACTGCACAGGTACAGGGCCAGGGTTGGCGAGGCAGCCCCTGGCACCCAGGCAGGGGAGGCGGCCTTGGGGGGCAGTGGTGGGGGCACCGTGGACTCACCCACCTCCAGCTCGGGGAGCTCCTCTCGGGGCACAGAGCGGCCTCGCTCACTCAAGAGGGGCTCCAAGCCATCTGTGTCCTCAGCGTCACTGGAGAAGCGCATGAAGATGGTGTCCCAGGGTATCACCCAGCGCTTTCGGCTGTCACGGGACAAGAAGGTGGCCAAGTCACTGGCTGTCATTGTGAGCATCTTTGGGTTTTGCTGGGCCCCGTACACACTCCTGATGATCATCCGGGCCGCCTGCCATGGCCACTGCATCCCAGACTACTGGTATGAGACGTCCTTCTGGCTGCTGTGGGCCAACTCGGCAGTCAACCCGGTCCTCTACCCTCTGTGCCACTACAGCTTTCGCCGCGCCTTCACCAAGCTGCTCTGCCCCCACAAGCTCAAGGTCCAGCCCCACAGCTCCCTGGAGCACTGCTGGAAGTGAGCTGCCCTCCACAGCCACTCCGCGCCCTTGTTCCCTGGGCAGCCGCCTCCCGGGTGCGAGCCACACCCTGTCTTCGGCCCACACTATGGGCTATGGTGGCCTCTCTTAGATCACCTGCCTGCAATAGAGGCAGCTTGGAGGGCTGGCCGAGGGGCTCTTGCTGCCCGAACTGGCATGTGGTGCCCACCCTTTGCACAGTTACTGCTTGGTGTTTTTCCCACAGCAAGCGCTTGGTGTGTGCTCCAGGCTTCCTGACCCAGCAGTCTGCCCCTGCACGTGTGCACACCTGCACACACCTGCACACCTTCCCTTGCTCCAGACATACCTGGGCCACTAGCTCTGCTGCCGTCTGCCCCCTGCTTAAGCCTGGGCCCTCTTTCCTCCAACTCTCTGCCCTCAAAGTGCCAACAGCTTGCTGCTGTTCTCTGCTTTTCCCTTTTGGGTGTTTCAGGAAGACAAGAAGAAAACACATCTGTGAACTCGATGTTCCTTGGATGTTTAATCAAGAGAGACAAGATTGCAGAGGAGCTCAGAGCAGGATTGGCAAGTGGGGGCTCCCACGCCCTCTCTCCTCATGCTGCTGTTTCCGGCTGAGCTATGCCAGCTGCTTCTGCCCACCCTGCCCCCAGCTTGGGTGCTGGGCCCAACTGGTGGCTCTGAGAGTGGCCAAAACTTGGATGCCTGTTTGGTCCGTAGGCTGCCATCCCACCCCCTCTGTTCAACCAGCGTTTCCTGGGGCTGATGGGGCAGAGGGCCTCAGCCCTGCCCTGAGGGTCCCGAGGCTCTCAGGGTAGTCAGAGGGGACCAGGCTCGGGTGCCTAGTGGAGGGACTGCTTAGCCACATCCACTTACCACATGGGTGCCCTGCATGCTCCGCTCCCACCATGCTAGCCCTGCAGACTCTGAGGTCCATAGTAAAGTGTATTTTTTTATTGGTGCTGATCCCTGAGGACTTTGTGTGTGGGGGGGGCTTCAGTGCGGCCCTAGGGAGACACAAGACCACCCCGTGGACGTGAGGCACAGGCCTGCTCCTCCCCCGGCCTCAGTGTTTTCTTCCAAGTGGGGGGACTGTGGTGGGGAGAAAAGAGCAGCCTGGTCTGAACACCAGGGTTTAATCCTAGTAAAAGGCAAGTGCCTGGCAGTGCCCTACCTGCTGGACCCCACCACCTGCTCAGGGGGAACTCACTCCAGCCTAAGAATCCACCCGTGGCCCCATCTGACGCCGCCTGCCTGCCTCCAGGACAAAATTCTCATCTTTCTTGGCCATGATCTTCCATCTGGGGAGCTTTGGGGG